CCGCAGTCCGCAGTCCGCAGTCCGCAGTCCGCAGTCCGCAGTCCGCAGTCCGCAGTCCGAAGTCCGCAGTCCGCAGTCCGTAGTCCTCAGTCTGCAGTATGCAGTCCACAGTGCTGTGCGTTTTACACTGACCGGGCGTAGATGGGACTTGTTCTTATAAGTTACAGATGAGATCTTCTACCGTATACCGTATGTGAACATATCCACATGTTAATATGCGCCATAAAAGCACCATTTTTCTTGTTCTTGTTCTTGATCTTGTTCTTGTTCTTGTTCTTGTTCTTGTTCTTGTTCTTGTTCTTCTTGTTGTTGTTGTTCTTCTTCTTGTTCTTGTTCTTGTTCTTCTCCTTCTCCTTCTCCTTCTCCTTCTCCTTCTCCTTTTTCTTCTTCTTCTTCTTCTTCTTCTTCTTACTGTTATTACTGCTATTTAAAAGACTTGAGTTACTATTTAAATAGCTCAACCTCGCATTCACCCCAGCCCCTGTTTCAGAACGGAGACTGAGGGTCTACGAACAAGCTGGATGGAGCCATGATCTTGTCAACCCTTTCAACCCTTGTTTTTGAGTGCTATGATTTTGCTAAGCAACTGCTGCATACAAAAAGGTGCTTGGGTGTTAAATTGCTGTTAACTTGCCTTTGACCAACAAATTTACTTAAGCTATGCAAGAAAATTACAATACATGTACTCATCAAGGTTCCAGCTTTCGCTGTTCCCGTCCCGTCCCGTTCCGTCCCGTCAGAGCGCTACTCTCGAACAGTCTGAAAGTTGTCACGTCAGATAGGTTCGTCCAATCTTGTCTCGTCCCAGGACGTTCCGGCGCTAGTGCCTCTCGAACCTTCTAGCACTGAAAAAAGCTATCTTTTTTTTCCGCATTATTGCTTGAATTATTTTTGCTGAAGGTTTGTACACTGAGATTAAAATCCCGTATGTCTTATAGACGGTGAAGATACAAGTATTGTAACTCAAAGCACCAGCTTTATGGAAATTCAGTGTTTGATAAAAATAGTTTGGAGTTATTCAACTGTTTTTTCAATTTGAATATCAGTGAAGAAGAACGGAATTCTTTATTATTCTGTTGTAAAGATGACTGATTAGATAAATACTTGTTCATTGAATTCAGTTTAAGTGTTTCATATTAGCTTCTTAGATGAGATCCTACAGACTACTGAGCCCTTACGACAGGTCACGACTAGACCAGGGTTCCCATGGGAACGAATATTTTGCATGCCTATGGGACAAAACCGGATGAAGGCCCAGTCACCTCAGACAAATCACTCTTGAAATCTAAGTGCAATTCACTGCATCATTTTATAATCGACTGAAAGACAACGACGCATCCATCTATCCATCGTGAAAAATTAGCTCAACATACAGGTAAGAAATACTACGACTTACAATCTTTCTTAAATTTGAGTTTGTGCCTAAAGGACCTTTTCGTCAGGTAAGGTTGTTCCGCATACGTAATCATCTCCCATGACTACCGAGTTTACGATATAGCAATTACTGTTATCGAACGTGCTTGCACTCACTGTAAAGCAGATTAGAATTTTTCATCAATAATATCCTGACAAGTACTATGTTTTCTTGCTGTGACTAAATTAAGCCGGTACGAAGCGCTTGACATATAAACATGAAGTCTGTGCTGTAAGGGGTTTATTTCACGCGCACGTTTCAAATAGTCTTTAGTGACCTTTTCAATAGTCGAGGGTTTTATTGAAGCATGAAATGAGCTATAGCATGTGCGTAGTCTTCGCTTACTCGGGTCTTTCGACTTAATTCTTGACATGCTCACTATCTGTGCAATAGCTGCCCATTTATAACAGTAGCACAGATGTTCTACTTTTCTGAAGAAACTTTTTCACGAAAACTTATCACGAGTATGATAATTTTAGTACAACTTTTTGGGAAGGTTTCTTTTGAATAGAGACAATAGATTACCACTGCAACGAACCATGATCAGACAGTCCCAAGAGTAAGTTGCATTGTTTGATGCAAAATAACTCTTTTAATCCATGGAAAAGTTTCTCAGAAGCCAAACATTGAAAAGAATAAATGCTCTTTTATTTCTATTTTTAACCTCTTACACGTTTTCCCTTTAAGCCGAATCCTTTTGAGTATGTATCCCATGTCAATATAGACGTTCTGAGACCCAGTAAAACTGTGGTGCAAAGGTTCAAGCAGACATGTCAATAACTTAAGTCTTTCTTTCATTCATTCATTGACTGCTGTCAATTGGGCCTCTTCGTCTCAGTTCCCGCATTTGTGATTCTGACCCATTCATTATCAGCACGGTTTACTTTATTTATATTATCGGATTAAGGTTTTTGCAATGCCTTGCAGGATTGCCGAATTGACACTTGTCTGACACCCGAATACAAAATTATTGGCTTACTATCGTCATTGTCATAATATGAAATAAACACAACACTGTTGAGAGTAAAATACCTGCTTCATCTCCAGGCGTCGCTCCTTAGTCATGCTCAGCAGGAGGTGCATGCACAGTAAGTTAAATTGTATGAGTGTCCATCATCATAGCAACGGGATAATCCCCTTAGCAACGAAGTCGGGTTATGTCACGTTTCGCACCTGATGTGAAACTTGACATGATCACATCAACCTTGCACCTGGTGACTCAGTCACCTAGTCACCAGGCACCCACGACATCTGGCCGCTAAAGAGAGGGAATTCCGTCGAAAAAGGCAGCGCAGGGCTTCATGCGTAGCCTAAGGCGAAGTTATGGCTGTTCGTTGTGCGATGCATAATCTGGGAGTGCATTTTATTGCCAAAATATACCATTTAAAAAACTAACACCAAACATTTTACTGTTACAGGTATCGAAAGGTTCATACGCGAACCAGAACTGATGATGATGAGTCGCTGAGAAAACCTGCAGGGTCTTGATAAACTGGGACATCTATTGAAAGTTCAGTGGAAAAAGAGGATTGAAGTATATTTACCAACTGGAAACAGATTCAATCTGTACACCCCAGGAGTGTGAACTGCGGAGTCTTGTTCTTAACTACAAACATATTCAGAATCGACATTGTATTCCATCAACAAGAGACTCGAAAAGATGGTTTTCATGAAGAATTTGTGCGAGGAAGTGCACCCGCCATTTGCTACCTCAGTAATGACTGCAGCTGTTTCCCTGGTGCTCTGTCTCATTACTGTACCCGGTAACATTCTGATCTGCATCGCCATCCTAAAGGATCCTTATCGTGAATTATGCTCTTCATTCAACTACTTTGTTCTTCAGTTGGCTCTGAGTGACGTCATTGTAGGCATCTTCACCGAGCCTGCCTTTGTCGTGTGGCATATTCGCGAGGCCCTCAACTATGGTGTCATGGAAACAATATGGATTATCCACCTTACGTATTTCATCTCGTGCACAGCCTCACTTCTTAGCCTTTCAGCTCTTACTCTAGACAGACATCTAACAGTTGTGTCCATTAGAAGGAAGCTCTCCTCTCGTTCTGTGGCTCGTATCTCCGCAATGATGTGGTTTTTATCTCTCACAATACCTTTCGTTTACTTCGTCACCGGATTTTACTTGTTTGTGTTTATATTCGCCAACACTGCTGTCATCACATCCTTTGTGATCGTAGCATTTTCTTACTGTCGGATCTATCACAAACTAAGAGCACAAATCTCTCGATGGCGTTCATTTTGTCACGATCAAGTAGCGTCAAAGGCGATGGCCATGGAAAAGCAAGTAACAAGAGCATTTAACTTGATTTTGATATTTTTTATTTTGTGTCTGATACCATCTTGCATAATGATATACATTATAAATCTTTGTGACACATGTGACTGCGCACTCATCCACTGGCTTCGAGATCTACAATTCCTTCTAACTTTGGTCAATTGCTCGATAAATCAGTTTTTATACGCTTGGAGAATGCCCAACTTCCGAAAAGCAATAATGGCTATCCTTTGCGATAAGTCCGCGATAATAAATCGCTGCGTAATTTCGTCATCTCCCATCAGAATAACGATATCCTGCAATCAGAGTGGTAGACTTGAAACACTTGAGTTTTCATCCCTAAGAAAGTGCAAGCATGTTGCCGACACTACTAAAGATTTAAGTGACGATATAAACAATGTGCAACAACCGGCAGATTTTATTCGTATAACGAGTGTATAGAATGATTTTCATTCTGCCAAAGACAAAGGAAAGATGGAAAATCAACGATTACTCTTCCAGTTTGCAAAGAAAGGGATAGAATTGTAAGAAGATTTTTCATAAGAGAGATCAAAAATAAAGACACTGTCAACCAGCCAACCAGCTCACTTCCTGTACGTTTTACTTATAGCTATGTAGGTACCTACATACCTACCTATATTAATCTACCAACCTACCTACTCGCCTGCCGTGCCCACCTACTCACCCACCTACCTACATAGCTACCACTATTTACCAACTAACCTACCTACCCACCTGCCCACCTACCTACATACCTTCCTATATAGCTACTTACCTACTGATCTATACCTACCTACTATACGTATTTACCTAACCCACCTACCTACCCACGTATCAACTCACCTACCTCCTAACTACCCACCCATCCACCTACTTATGTACATACCTACCTCCCTAACAAAGTCAAAGAAGGAAAAAGTAACAGCCCTCTACGTTACACCATTCGTACACCAAGCTGTTATCTAAAAACTGCCTTTTTAATGGAACTATACTGGAAACCTTACACCTTGGAGAAATTTAGTCAATGTAAGAAATGCTAGGGTCTGAAGACTCTCTCATCGAGCGGAGATACTCCCTGTCGTTAGATCAGGCAGCTCGACAAATGATCTAATACAAGTTTATGCGTAAAACTTAGCTTGTCCTTGTTCTTATTCTTGTCCATAGACAGCAAAGTCCTGAACTTAAAATTGATCGCAATATCTAGAATATAATCTGAACTTTACTTCCTTGAATTCTTCAAGTAATGCATCTCCAGGCAATTAAGGGGCCATCTTAAAGCATCTTCACAACTATAAATGTCAAGACAGAGACACGATGTCCCATGTTGAACAGAACAAAATGTATCAGTTCCATTATCGGTAACTTAAGGTCACGTAGATGATATGAACTTCATATTCTCTCTCCTCCGCAGAGGTTCGAAAGTTCGTTATATAAATCCACTGTGCGAAGTGAGTGCAGGCGCAAAGTCTGCCCCTGTACTTACAACACTCAGCGGATTCTCCCCACCCGAAAAAACCTTGGAGCCTCTGCGAAGGAGAGAGCTTCTCATACGCTTTTCTCAAAGCTCAAAAATCGTGGAAAGTAACTAGACGTAAGTGAAAGACTGAAGTGTGCACACATGAGCACTGACTGCCCCTCACTCGCGTAGTTACAAAACACAGTTTTTAATGTAAGTCCTACTTACATTAAAGTAATATCAGTCGCTATATATAGTAATGTTTGACATATTTCATAACTATAGAAGTTTCTAGATAAGTAAGTTATGACACCAATTGCCGTCACTTTAAAAGCTCATTTTTTATTTTTTTATTTCAATTTTGAAAATAATCAGTGCAAAACATCTTGTGAAACTCAAAAATCTAAGTACTAGTTTCATAGATTTATATCCTGTGTTTTATCTCTTTTCCCTTGTATCATTTGGTAACAAGTTCCACAACTTTTCTGCAATTAAAACCACAGGTATATTTGAATTCACTTTGGAAAGTTTTCCCTGACGGTCTGTGATTGTAAGCAAAAAATCTTCTTTCTCTGTTGAGTCTACCTGGTAAAAGAGCTGTTCACCTCACATTCAAAACGAGGTTTCTTTTTTATTCACTAAATCGAACAACAAACAAGTTAACGGGCAAGGCGAAAATATCCAAAGATGTTTGCATTTCCGAAACTTTCGATTACGTTTCTTCGTAAGCTTATGTTCCTATGCATTTTACTTCGATATCACCTCGGAACAATTCTCTCAACTTGAAAAACGTATGTTCAGTTCTTATGTCTTTACCACGGTTTGCAGGAGCAAAATAGGCGTGGCTTCAGAACGAACTTGACCTGCCTTTCTCTGACGCTGAAGGCTAAACATTAGGACGGGCCAAGAACAGCTACAATTCTTAGCCTTTTGGTTATCACTGTGAAACGTACAGGGATCTGTAGCGATTACAAAATGTTTTTTGTCTGTATACATACACTTTTAATAGACTTTATTCCGGAAGCATTTAAAATGATAGCGTCTCAACATAGGAGCTGATGTCAATGAGTATCTCTGCGTTAACTGCTGGTCAAATCTAAACTCGCTACGCAACTAAAGAGGATGAACGGCAAATTCAGCAACCTAAACGCAAAGAGGAACTAAGGAAAAACAGGAAGGGAGAGAGTCGAAGTTAGCTGAAGCGTGCATACGTGGAGGACCATAATAAATTAGGTCATCTGGTCGCGCGGCTCGATTTAGCTTAAATTAGATTTAATGACAAAGCGGGACTATTTTGTTAATTGGCCACCTTTAAACCATAATTTTTTTAAATTTAAGCCGGAATCCTCTGAAAACGGCTTACGATAACGGAGGAGACGCTCATTTAATATTTTATTGTGAAATTTGTCACTGCACCCATTTTACTTAGATTCTTGGCGTACGCCAAACACTGAAAGCCAGCTGGGCATGTTTTGTGTTCCTTAGTTGGCTATGTTCACTGCTTGATCCCGGAGGTCTATTTTGGCTTCTTTGATTATCTGTCAGTCTAAATTGCCCTCGGCAAAATCCCACAAAAATGAACTAGGCAGAAACTAGAAAGTACTGTGGTTTTAAAAGCTGTAAACGAACAGGTTATGACAACTATCGTAGACTATATAAACTTCGTTTTTCGGTAAATTTCTCAAGAAGAAATCTAAATACTGTAGATTTACTTACATAGCAGAATTTGACCATTTCATCGCCAGTATTAAACTTGGTTCATTTATTAAAGAACGGTCCAGAGTGGGTGTGAGCATAGCTGTCCTTTGTATATGACCGCGATAGAAATCTGGTTGTGTTTAGCAAAGCTGAGTTGAGCAGAGTTTTTTTATAAACTTCTAGTTCAAAAGGGCATATCGCGACGTACTTTGTACCCTCCTTTTCCGTTTACACAGCTCCGCATTTTGTTTTTTTAAATGCTCTGTTCATTTCCCTAGCCAAAATGTTTTCTCAAAAGAAAGATGAGAATTGAGTTTTTAACACCCAAACCGAGCGCCTTTTAAGTTGCCTTTTACAAAACACTGAGCAGTGGAGTTAATAAGACTAAGGAAGCACAAAAACGTCTCAGTTTCAAACTTTTCAGTTAATTACAAAGAGCACAGCTGGTGATATCAAAAACTAAATAATGCATATAACGTTTCGTGGGAAATTTTTTGTTTTTGGAATTTTTCGTCATTTCACAAGCACCTTTTCATACGAGGATTGTGTTTCTGCGGGGCGAAGTAAATCAACTACATATGTAATGCACCGTTAGTTTTCGAAACGTCATTTTGAATGGGTCTTGATTATTTTGTGTAGATCCGCATTTCATTTAATCCCTTCGCTAGTACATCATCACAAGTTAAACTTGAGGAGACAGATTCTCATCGATGAGTACAGAATTTACTTCATGTGCAGTCCTTTCTGAAGTCTCGAAGACTTATAAAGAAGTTTAGTTTAGCAACGCATATGAGGTGGTGAGGCAAAAGGTTAGGTTGCCCCTTTGCAGCGGTTAGGCGGCAATCTTTAGGCATAATAAAAGCGTGGAATTTTCCTCAGCTAATGCTGGTCCAAGAAGACAGTTGCTGAGGAAAAAATATTGAGGATTGTCGGCTAGAACGAACGGGTTTAGTGAAACAACCAACGAAATGACATTTTATGACCTAGTTGGCCGATAATACCTTTGTTTACCTTTTACACGAACTAATAACATGTCTTTAAAAGTGCACACGCAAATACTTAGCAGAGCACATAGGAGACGAGAACTGTTAAAGCGCTTATCAAGTAGGAAGCGATTGCGTTAGAGTAAAACAAAATTTTCAGGCTAACACGAAAGGTAACACGCATCGAGCTTTGGATCCAGGGAATTAGAGGAGTAAATTCGCTCATGGCAAGAAAGAAGTAATCATGGTCTCGTGTCTGGGATAAATGCTTTCAACCGTTTTGCTTTGACACATATAAAAAAGGGACCATAAAGAAACACGCCATCGTCCTGGTTTAAATGTAACTCTGAACACCTTCGAAGGAAACTATGGGCTAGTCCTGAAAAGTAATTAGCAACATTATGGGCTAGTAAACTGAAAAAAACGCTTCCAGTTCCAAAATGGGTGAGCCTGGGTGTCATCGTAAACACAAACAATCTCTTAGCCGGCCCAAGACTAATACGTTGAAACCACAAAACTGAAATGTCTTTTAGCTTTCTAGCGGTGTCTCTTGTGTTCACTTCGTTTTCTTGGGCGCCTATTCGGCTGGGACTGGCAAAAAAGATTCCGGTTGAGTTATAACGATTTGGTACTAACCAGCATGCGGTTGGTTACTATGGCTGAATGCCATAAAAAGGTAGCATGCAGCCATGTTATTCTTCAATTCCAAAAGGGTACAAGAAGCATGGAGGGATGATGTGTATCTAAAATTCATACAAATTCAAATCAAGTTTTTAAATCGATGAGAAAACTTTTGCTCGTTGGTATTTTAACTCTACTGCAATCTTATTTTTAGAGGTAGATATTTGGAGAGTGACAAAGTTTCTTTCGGTCCAAGAGTGAAAATCCAGCCGTCATACTGATTTCAAACATGTCACTCTTTTTCAAAGTGATAATTGGAGAGTTATGTAAACTGAGTATTACTTTCCAAATACTTCTACAAATGCATTTAACTGTTAAAATAGATCGTCTTTCGTTACAAAACCTGAAAATGGTTTAATCCAGACAAATATTTCCTGTGGTAAAAAAATTGGAATTTTGCCGGAGGGAAGATGGATAAATGTGTCAATATTGACGGAAATTTTTTCTTGGCGTATACCTCGAGAGGATGCCACCAGAATTTAAAGACATTTTTAGTGGAACATGCCTTAAGCGGTCCTTAACTTAGCGGAAACTCTCTATTTAGCGGGAAGTGGTTTAGGGTCCCTAAGTTTATCTTATATAATTACTGTAAATAACACCTCTATTAGGCCACATTAAGCGGCATCAAAAAGGTGCTATCGATGTGAACTTGAGATTTCTTCATTTTTTTTTTATTTCAACAATCGACCTTTTATTTCAACAATGTTTTTAACACGGCTTTTGCTCTAAGAAAACAATAACAACAATAAGCCCAACGGGAAAAACTATATTCACTGCACACTGCCAAAACGTATTATGAGTACGCCAGAAAACGCCGCAATACGACTGTGAGTGGAGCGTAGGTGTAGAAAAAGACTCTAGAAGGCTTCTCCTTCAAGCACGGTGAAAGAAGGTCTTTCGCTCTTTTTCCTGGCCCAACTTTCCTTTGAGAAAAGTGAAATTGCCTTCAAGGGGGACGGCAGCCGCAACTTATTGCTTTCTGTGGGTGATCATGAACAGTTCAAAAACATAATTTAGCCAATGCCTTTAAGAACGTATTGTTTTTTGTTTAAAATCATAATTATATTGGATGAGTTAGATTAGATTTATACAGGAAGGATTTTGCCCCCTTTTATTTTGAATATTAAAGGACGGATTACAAGAGAACGACAAGTAGACAAGTGTTAAAACTTTTTGTACTCTAGTTTGATACCAATTCCGATCGTGCTTCTGCACTCGCATCGGCTAACTCGGAATTTCCTGGCGCATTCATCGAATTCGAACCTCCTCGGGAGTCAAATGAGTTTGTGCTTGTGTTACAGGAGTGACTGAGAGTTGATGAGAGCTAAGAAAGGCCGGATTTTTACCCCACAATACTCGGACTGGATTCAATCTTTAGAAGAAACCCTCAGCTAAGCAGGAGTCCTGCTACACATAGTGCTCAAGTAGGCACTCGTCGAGCTTTCCATAAGGCTTAAAAGCGCTACTCAGTGTAGTTTAAACCCCTATCAGTCTATAGCTCCACCGACAATTTGGAGCATTTATCTCAATGGAGTTTTTTGTTTAGCCTGCAGTGAAGGCATTTCTTGGAGAGCAGTATCGCTAAATTTGTTTGGTATTTGCGGGGTCAACCGCAGACCTCAAAGAACGAAAAGATATCGACGAGTTAAAATGTTGATCATATTTAGGTTCATACTTAAGAGAAATGTTTCTCAACGTTTCTTTAAAGCTGGCCGGGTCATCCAAACAAATGACGAGGCAATTCGTCAACTGCTCGCCAAAAGCAGCCAAGATTTTTTGTATGCTTCCATGGAAGAAGATGAACACTTGCCTCTGTCTCGACCAAGCAATCATGCTTAATTGCACTTGCACTACGAGATATTTTACAACTAAAAAGGCGCCACTTTGCGCCGGATTTAAGAAAAGATGTACATGAAATCATAACATTTTCTATATTGGGTTCCTTTCTTCATTATTACTATTTACACAATACACCCTTGCTATAACAAAGCTATTAATTGAAAGAGATAACCTCGGCTTTTTTCATCGCCTTATCATTATAGCATCAACTCACGAGAACTCCGCGTGGTTTTCGTCACGTCGTAAACAACACTTTTCTGGAAAAAGGTACGGATAATAGCATGGCTCTATCATCAGATTGCAAATATGTTGTTCACAAGTTCTCGAGCTACCCTTTCAGTGAAAAAAGGATTCCAAGCACACTTAAAGTGTGGTTTATCTGCAAAAATAGCGTGTTGGATTGGCATGATGGAACCCATTTGAAACTCGTTAACTACTTTGGCCATCTACCAATAATCATATAACAACTTAATCTGCATGCTCACAAGCAACTCGGTGTAAATTTGTAACATCCACCTAACCGTATTCAGTCCTGTTGAATACCGGGTACAATGCATAAAAAGGCTTTGGGAGGAAAAAGTGCATATTTCAGAATGCTTCGGCGAGGTACATGCTGAATTCCTCTCTATCCAAGTCGTCGCATAAGAGTTCTGTAAAGTTTTCTAACACAGCCCCCGAGTTTCCTCTCATTCGTTCAGTATACTCATCGCCTTCGTCGTCTTCATTTTCAACAGCTTGTGGCTGGGCAAATCTGCAAGAACTCAGTCTTGTTCGGCCTGCTATTTTGTGTGGTTGGCGATCGTCTGTGGGTACTGTAGATCCACTACTTCCTGCGGGATGTACCGCACTTTTGACAACTGATGAACGAGGTCTATTAGGATAATAATGTTCAGATGATTTTATCTCTCCGGGCTGATAGGCACAAGGGGAAAGCATAACATCTTTCCTTCCAGCTTCGACGGGGTAAAAAACACGCTCAGCATTCGTACCAAATCTGGCATCGTCATACTCAGTAGTGTTCCGATCTGATGCGAAGCATACTCCTGCTTTAAATTGGGAATTGTGGCAATCGAGGGTAGCTGATGCGATATAATGAGATCTGCCGTGTTCTTTTTCCCATCTCGTCGCCGGGTACACATGGTAATCGTGCTGATTGCTTAATGATTCTCTGAACAAATTGGAGTTCCAATCACGGTCTTCAGTTCCTGCGGAGTAATATTGCTGTGCATTGTCCGCGTACTGAGTTGAGGAAAAATGCCTCTCCTTGGAACTTGGATCTGGAGAAGGAGGCATTCCGAACACCTGCCTACTCATGACAACATTAGAAATGCTGCTGATGAAGGTTGGATTGATGTACGTTGAATTAGTTCGCTGGCCTGGTCGTCGCTCTTGCGAGCGCCTCTTTGGTGTGTAACGGTAATTTGGATGTTCCTTCATGTGGCGAATTCGGAGCCTTTCTGCTTTCTCGACAAAAGGACGCTTTTCCTTCGTGGTGAGCTCATTCCATGCTTTGCCTAGTAGTTTGCTGATTTCTGCATTGTGCAGTTTTGGGTTCTCCTCAGCAAATTTACGCCTCATAATTTTGGCCCAGATCATAAATGAATTCATCGGCCTCTTCACATGCGAGTCGTCGTCGTCTTCAAGGTAAGTCGATGGAAGCATCTGCGGCTGAACCATGCCGGGCCAATTTGTTCCAAAGTCGCTATGCCACATTTTCGTTATCGAGATAGCAGTAAACTTTCAACGTATCACTGCAGCTGTACACAAAGAGACACTAATTCGAGTGGGATGCTTTTATGTAACAGCGCCCATATAAAGGATAGAGGTACGGTTTCGTGTCGCGGCGTCTTTGGTAGGGGGTAACTAAGGCACGAGCTTTGAAGAGGTCTTACTGTTAGGTTGACACCCTCCCATTATCTCCCATAGTGGGAATTTAGCGTTCTACTTCATAGCCAATGTTCAACATGTTTTTCCAAAATTGCACAATTACGGAGTTGACGTTCCAAAACGTGGTCCGGGGCTTTGGCTATTGAAAAGCAATAAGCAAATACTTCTGGCGATTTAGTTTATTTACAATTATCGCATGCTTAAATCTACCATGTGTTTCTTATTGGTGAAGAATTTTTCGCGTGACCCTAGATTCGGAAACGGGGCTTGCATCTTTTTCCTGTCTGCACTGTCAACAGGAAATGAAATTTCAACATATCTGGGCCTTTGCCGCACGGATGTTGTTGTTGATTTTTTTCTTCTGGACAATTTCACTTGTGAATCTCTTTTCAACTCGACATAAAAATCTTGACCCTTTTCAAATTAAAGTGGGTGAAAAGTGGATTTACTTGAACTTTGAACGGTCATTATTCCGAGCTTGCTGTAGTGACTGCAGTCAGTTGGAATGCAGAGCTTGGCTCAAGTTATGTGGACTAGACACGCAATTGTTATCTTTAAAACAATCTTAAGATTACTTCTTAATCACAAGAAATAGCAATAATTTCACTCTCGAAGGAAGGCTTAAGCGCGATGGAACATCATTCGGGTGCTGGGTTTCCTCAAATTTATAGACAGCAGTGTAATGCCTTGGGATAAACAGTGACCACTATCAAAGTGAGATAGATATCGATAGTCCAATTGACATGTGACCTAAATGCTTGGTATCTAACCTTATCGTTTCCCACTGCATTGGATTTCTTCTACATCTAAAGATCAGAGTTTTCAAATTAAAAACAAACATTGCAGTTGACACGTGATCAGCAGGTAAGGCGATTTTAATCAAACAATCACAATAACCTGTATTTGTGTTAATTTAAACTTCGTTTTCTCTTAATTTATGGTCTATTTTTGTCAATAGACATGGCCAATGGGCCCGTTATGTTTAAAGCATGAGTATGAAACATCCAGTGGAAGCAGGCCCAGTAAAGAAAACTGGATAAATTTCGATGAGCAGCTCTCCTCAAAGATACGGCCACTTCGGAGAGCTGACAGGAGCACGAAGGTTACCACAAAGGGAAATAACGCAGCGTGTAAACATTAACCGAAAGGACACAAGAAAATTCGATGTAGAACGTAGCTAACAGTGTTTCAAACACCTGCACAGTGACTAATAATAGTACAAAAGAAACATTGTGATTGCTAAATATCAACAATTATCGATAATAGACGGACTGGATTAGAGATTAAGGATCACAAATTCTTGTGGGGTGACTTCTGTCATCACCTGTCCAGCGGCGCATCATGATCAATTTTTCACTTGTCAATGCCAAGACTGGAATAGCCTTCTGAAGATTACACCAACCATCTGTCTCGTTTATTGACACCCTCAGTTAGGTTTTCCATAAATGAAGGTTAATGAAACAATTGTTTGACATGAAAAGTTGTCAAAAATCTTATAATGGTCATCACAAGTAATGCATTAGATGTCATTTGCGCAAGAAAACTCGAAATTTGAAAAAGGGAACGAATCAAAGCTTTACGGCTGTTACACCCTTCCAGTCTTCCAGAAGCGTCGATTCGATCTTTCCTGACGACTGAAAGGTCGAATCAACTCTGCTTGCAGGATAATGTTACCGTAAGATGTTGAATATCAGTACGACTTCTGCAGTGTATATCGTCAACATCTCAGGCTTAAATGACCCTTTAATTTTCTTTAAAATCTTTTCAACATACTGATGCAGATTTTTTCAGTTGCAACTGATATAAGTTTATTATTGAGCTGATAATTCAATATTCAGTTTCGTAAACGACGAGCCGTTTACCTCGAAAGTTGATGCCAACGTTTTCCTTCTAGATCTTCTGAACAAATTTCAGTGCATCCACATTTGAATTTCGGTCAAACTATTTTCCAAACTATAATAGTTAGGCTATAAATCATAAATTATGTACCATGCTATTCTGTCTCCCGCCAACAAGCTCTCGTTGTAGTCTTCTCTGATCTTAACTGTTTTAAAAACCAAGGCGGAAATTAAAATTCCTGAATTGTTCTCGAAAACAAGTGATGGATGACTGACCAGACTGAGAACAAGTTGATCTAAAGTATTTTTATTACTATATTTACGCCAAAGGGCGAAAGAAGCTACCATGCTTACTACAAATTAAGAACATATGCCCAAAGATCCTAATTAAAATTAGGATAAAATCGTGACACACACGGCGGGTTGTCCGCAAATGCCGCAATGACTCGGCTTTCAAAGAAATGTCATCTGATTTTGTCTCGATCATAAAAAGAATAATAGACGACATTTTTTTCTCTGTGCATTGGCAAGGATTTTATGGCCCTATTATTTTTACCCCCTTATCTAAGAAAACGAAGAGATGGGAATTCAGGATCCCCCGGGATGACCAACCCCAGCGTTTGGGTCTCACGAACTACGTTTCGTAATCATGATAAAAAAGTGTATCAACTGGAATTAGTGTTATTATAGTATTTAAACCATGCAGTTTCCGCTGAACTATGTACTCTGTTCATGAATTCGAACGCCTTCTTCCATCTCAGAGTCTTTATTTTGTTTGTTACATCAAGGCGGAAAGGCCTAAACTGCTATCGGATGAAAACGCATGAAAATGTTTTTTTTTTTTACAATTGAGGCAAGCCAAAGCGTGTTTTACAGCTGTCTGGAGTAGATTTACCTAAGCCAGCTTACTACAAATTGAGAACATATGATATGAACTGCGATGATGTCGTGATACACACATGGTGGATTGTCGGTTTTGATCTTAATCTTCTCTTCAGTTTTGTCTCTTGCCTGGCAACAAATGCTGCCTCGGTCAAACCAAGGCTGCGAAACACTGGAGAATAGACTTGTTGTTAACTTGTAATTTAATGTGCGGTTTTACGCATTTCAAGCAAAAGCAGCAATTAAATTGAAACTTACATCTCTACGATGTACCCTTTCATGATCAACTTCACCTTTCTCTTTCTGTACATTTTTAGTATTTTTTCTTCTATTTTTCACCTCTGAAAATTCAGGCATAACCCCTTACACCACGGTACCTGGGGGTATACTTGGAAGGTACTTCACATCATAAGTGTAACCAGGAATCGGGTAGAGAGGGGAGTGGACTGATTTAATCATGAAACACCCAACCATAGTTGGGAGGCGGGTTAGTAATGCGCTCAAGTATGGATCGAGTGGTCCGGGTTCGAGCCCTGGCCGGGGACATTGTGTTGTGCTCTTGGACAAAACACTTTACTCTCACTGTGCCTCTCTCCACCCAGGTGTATAACCCTGGGATGGACTAGCAGGAGTAGAAATATTCCTACTCGCTTCATGCTACAAAAACCGGAGATTAGCGCCGGCCTGTTAGACCATTTGGTTCGTATGCAGACTTTACCTTACTTTACCCTTACCAATTACAACACAGTGAGCAAAGTATTTTCTAGAAATTAAACCACAGTTGTTCAGCTTCTCGAAGCCGGCATTACTTAAATCAGATAATATTGTCCCTTTCTAATACGAACAGTAGAGTAGAGTTAACTATGACTTTAGTTAATTATTCTTTTGGTTCAATTTACTGTTAGTAAGAAAATGAATGATACGAATTTAATCCAAAGTCCGTTATATCTTAAAACTATGGCACCCACTGGCCACATGCCCTGCGCGAGCTATCTTTAACTTGAAATGTATGGCTTTACAAAGAATGGTTTTTTATTTATACTCTGTCACATATGCTTAGATTAACTTTAATTATAGCAGTTTACACTAGGTGGTATTCGTTTATGAGCAAAGCTGGTGCCCAGAAGGTCCTTGTATTAGAAACACGTTTGATTCTTTAGTGACGTGCTTCATTAGCTACCACACTAGGCCCTTGTACTTCCTCGTTTTCCTTATGGAAAAACCGTAACCCGGAGAAAACCCACAGAGCTTGGCGGAAATCATCATGTGACGACAAGCTTTTACCACATTTGTGGGAGAAGAGCGATCATCCAATTATACGAGCCAAAGACGAGCCAACACGGATAACACTAGTATTGGTTAACAACCCTGTTTTACAGACACCACATTAATACTGATACACTACACCCCTTTATTAATGGACGGTACCTTTGACTCCAGTTTGATGATAAGTTCAAGCAGTAACAGCTTGATTTTCGCTTAAATTCACCTGTTTATAAGTACTGGTCAACTTTATGGAACACGTGTGGCCATTCCGGCTGCGATATCCATAGTACCAAGCTTAAACTTTGGGATTGAGTCGAACCCTTTTATGGACCACACAAAGGGCTGTGTGTATTGAAAGGCTTATCCGCATTAAGCGCGTGAATTCAAGAGAAAGGTACTTAAAAACCACAACCATTGCGCGTGATAACGAAGTCTCCTCATTAACCAGGTGTCTTCAAGTGATGTTGCTCAGTAAAGTCCCATCAAAAGGCGTTGTTAAAGTAAAATAAATAAAATAAAATAAATTGCAATAATTAAAGAGGAAGCACCACTGCGCCATCCCTGTTGGCGAATGACACTGGAATTGCTTCACCATGGTGGTCCTCTGTAACATTTTTAATATCAATAGCAAGAGATTTGTCCGCCCTATATACAACCTTGAGAACCAATCAACAGTTAGTACACTGTCCATGACAACTGTTTCATACGCCCTCCATGCAGCATAGCTTCCTCAAGAGCTTGACGAGATCTGTCTGTAACGCCAGGGCAGCCATCAAAGATAAGAATGTTTATTCTTGGACAGCAAGCCAGCAGTGCTTCAATGCTGACATCTGTTATATTAATACAGTGTGACACTTGAATTTCCTGAAAAATTGAACAAAGATCCAGGTTTTGTTCCCGGCTTACACTTCTCTCAGTATTTCAATGCCTCTCCAGGGCTGGTAATATTATTGCTTCCAGATAGAAGATCGGGTGGTTGGGAGTTGGGCACTAGTTTGCCAAGTGCGATCAATAATCTCGTAGTCAGGCTTTCTCTTTGGAAGAGAAGAGTGAGGAAACCTGGGTATGAGATTGGTACTGATATCAGGGTAGGTAGGGTAGGGACAGCCTTGTCCAGGAGAAGGACTGTTAACTAGGACAGTTGTTACGAGAACTTCCAAGGAAATTATCTGGAGTCAAGAGAACGAGGTGTATCTTTTGCGTAAAAATTGACCACAAACACAAAGATCACAGCATACTTTTACATACACTTACAGGGACCAAAATTTGTCAAACCGTCACGATCCGAATCGGATGTGCACTTGCTTGCTCGATGTCACATGATGTTCCCAAGCATGATCATATACGTAATTTGCTAACGAACAAACCGCGTAAAAATAGACGCACAGCATAAATCAAGAAATGGAAAATTTTGCCGTTTGTCACGTTAAAGTTTTGAAGCAGGCAATGAGAGTGTAATGTCATTTTTTTTACGAATAAATTCACCGTTTTAAATCAGAAATAAATGCACAACGGTCTGAAAAAATATGACGGGTAATATTTTTCTCAATCTAACAATGCTCCTTTTGTTGAGTCATCCTTTGTGATCGCCTTTGAATACAAGCTTCACTTAAACAAAACATGAATCAGTATCAGACTTCAAAGGCCAAAGTCGATCAGTTAACAGTGCAAAACTCCTCCCAGAAGGGAGATGTGTACGTGTGTGGCTGTAAACACTTACTTTAAGAGAATGTTGACATTTTCCACTTGTTAAGTACATTATACCATCATCAGCTACCTGGAAGTTGATTTAAAATAGTCAATAAGGCGGCCATGCAATTGCACTAGGAGGGGTAAGCAAGAACATAAGTCAGGGCTGTCATTAACGTTTTCAGAAGGAGGGCAACTGGTTTTCAAACCCGAAGGGTGGGGGAGAGGTACTCTAGAAAGTTTTACACGGGGAGGTTCTGCCCCAAGGTCCAACCCCTTAGCCTTTCATATACCATTTTGGCAGAAAACATACCCTTTTTGTATAACTTAAATTGACAAAAGATACCCCCTTCACATACCTTCTTAAGAACATGGCATCCCTTTTCTAAACCCAAGGAATGAAGTTAAAATTACAGAAGAACATCAAGCATTACCAGAACAGATGTTAACCAAAAGACAAGTATTATTTATTCAGTTTACGTTCATGTTGTACCTAAATGACAGATTTCCCTACCCTTTCATATACCTCAACTTGTGATGTTCCTTCCCTCTTATATACCTGAAGCCTAAAATGGGCTCTATAGCTAGGCCGTTACAGGAGCCCATGATGGGCTCCTGGCTGCTATAGGGAGTACCCCTTACCCTGTTTTCACCGGTGGGCATACGCTTTTGAAGTCAATTTCTTACATACGAAAAACTTTCCTCTAGATGGTCAAACAAGGCAGGTAAAATCCTCCTCAGAGCTAGTCAATTTGCCTTGTGCCTGGCCCCATTGTCGTCCCCATGGCCCTTTTCGCTCCTCTTAGCCGGCAGGGCCTTGGCACGAGAATCAGCCAAGAGGAGAGAAAAGGGTTATGGGGATGAGAATGGCCTGGCCCTTAATGAAATTCCCTGTAAGTATCATTTCCTCTACCTTTGTATTGGAGACGTTGAGACTTTGAAGAAATCTACAGTTGTGTGCTATGAGCTGAAGTGATGCATCTGTAATTTTGACACATCCACATAAATTGAGATGTTCCAAATGACTACAGTGTTGAGTCAGAGCAGCAACTGCATTATCTGTAAGATTAGCACATCGGCGAAGATACACTGTTCGAAGGTTACAACATGACGAAAACACTTCACTAATTCCTGTGAAATGAATAAAATGCATTTTATCACAATGAAATTATGATACTACCATCTCATCTTTTTTTTAGATCATGGACACTTTTTATGTTCCAAACAAAAGTTTTTTTTTACTTACATAATGGCCATTTGGTGGTCAGATTGGTCTCCAGTGGTGGTAAAGTTAGCACTTTTGATGTGACAGCAGTGAAATTTACATTTTTGATCAAAAGAAGTTGTACGTAACTAGTACCGGATCCTCATTAACTCATTTAATCATTTAATCTGAAACAACTCTTCATGCAGACAGTTAAATCAGCAAGAGTTACACTAGAAGGAAACAAATTATAAATTAAATTTCAAAAATTGTAAACCAAAAGCATCAACAGTACGAAGGTTATGGAACACGGAAGTATAAATATATCAAATATTCAGATTGTACTTTATCCTCAAGTCAATTCTCAAATATTTTTTCTAAGAATCTGTCCTGCAGAGGATGTATAAAAATTTTGGGTCGAAGTCTTGATCAACACATACCTTTAGAGGTGATAGTCTCCCTTGAATTCTTGGTAGCATTTAAGTCTAACTTCCTTAAGTTTTTACAAACACAGAGACAAGTAAGTCCATTGTCTGTTATCGTGCACTCACACAACTCCAGTTCTCTTAAGGAGGGATGTAATACCTTCAACAGGAAGTACCATAGAAAATTTTCAAAATGTCAAATCAGTCAATTTAAAATGTAAAGTACCAACTGCAGAGCAGGGTGAAATGCAGACTGAAGGTAAAATGTAGACTGCAGACTAGACTATTTAAGTATATATCAAATTATTATATGGCTAGCTCCTTGAGCGGGCAAGATAAATCAAATCCTGCACTGTGATTGGCCACCCAAGCGGACAAGATGGAGCTATCTTGCCTGCTCGGGACTACCCGCCATGTCCTGCAAGAAACATTTCCCCAAAAAGCCACATAATAAATCCTTTATTGACCAAGCTTGTTCAGTCAAGACTGCTGGATATTGGCCTCATTCGTTTTTTTGCGAGTTTATGGACCTCGACTCCATCTTGGTCCATAAACACGCAAAAAAAGAACTTGGCCAATATCCAGCCATCTTGACCTCACACTTGGTCAATGACCCATAATTATTTCCATTATTGAGTGCAGAACATAAACAGGATTATTCAGGGTAATTGCAGTGAAAGTCTGTACTCCGGTTAACCTGAACATCACTCCGGTTAGACTGAATATCATTCTGGTTACCCTGTTTATGGTAAGCTCTCAATGATGGTAATGGTAACAAGATTCATTTAAAAATTCTACAGCCTGCAGTCTACATTTTACCCTTTGGTCTGCATTTTTGATGGGGGTGTGAAACCCAAACCTTGAAACCTGTATCCTATTTCAGACCAAAATCTGTGATTTTCCATACCCTATTTCAGACCTCTTGAATTAGTACAACATTTGAGAAGGGCTACAAATCTGCCAAATACCCAATGCCAAGCCTGGGTGAAAACATTCAATATTTCAGACCAAAATGGTCAAAGTCTATACCCTTTTCCAAATCAAAATCACTCAAAAATGATACCCTTCAGGGCCGCACATACCTATATTGCCTATATAAGGGAGTGCCTTTTCCCCCGTCCCCGGACTAACATTAAATGAAATATATAGCATCCATTCCAACCCACTGAGTCTATCTAAATCCTTTGCAATATATTTGAGCAACTTAAATGTCTATGAACGTCTAAAATAGAAATCAATGCAGCTGCAACACATCTGCACATCACAGAGATCAGGTAAAAATCTGACTAGCAAGCTTACACTGTATGTAACTTGCAACGTAAGCTTCAACAAACATCCCGATTTAATAGTCATCAATCTAGTCCAGATAGATCGATCCAGAAGGCATAAGAATACCTGAACACCCCCAGAAGTTAAAGAAAAATAGTGCTAAAACAACTGGGAAATCTTCCCAATCAGGTTAGATAAATGTATTTATCCAAAAGTAACAACAGACCGTTACGCTACTCACATTTGCAAGGTTGGAGTCCGTCAGAAGACCACGCTTGGAGAGCAAATTAACCAGTTTCGTTTTTATCTCTACTGGAAGAAATCCCAACGAGGTTTCGTGGTCTGGCAACTGACTAGCTACTGCTCTAAGACAATGATTTTGTAAACTACTCACCACTGCAAAAACCGCCATATTTTGTATTGTAATGGGTGGCAACCGCAGTAAAGGATGCTTTGTACGGGGGCTCATTTTAGAACCAGGCGCCAGTCTCCCTAATCTATCTCCTCACATGTCCATTTCACGTTACCAAAGATGTCGTCCCACTTAGATCGTAACCCTGGAGTGCCGCTGGATTTAGAGTGGGTAAGCAGAGCAAGAGTTAATCTTCCTGCAGTTAAACGACGCGCAGACACGCTGAAAAATCGCCGATCGGTAAAGAAGCAGTGGCAAGCGGCTTGGCTTCTCCGAGCAGTGACCTGCATAGATTTAACAACTCTGTCAGGAGATGACACAGCGACCAATGTGGCTCGATTGTGCTTCAAAGCACAAAATCCAGTGAGACAGGACTTGCTGGAAAGCATGGGTATGGCAGACAAGGGAATAACCACAGGTGCGGTTTGTGTTTACTCATCCCGCGTTCCGGACGCTGTCAAGACTCTGGAGGATATTAACTCCGAGATACCAATTGCCTCAGTGGCCGCAGGATTCCCAGCAGGTAGAAACCAAATCTAGAACTTTGGATCTCTAGTGCTTAATGGATATTTTAGTTTGGGTTGTCAGTCACTCAAAATTCCCCGAATCAACAGGGCACTTATACGTAGGCAACAAATGCAGTGGGTGTTATACCGTGTAGAAATGTACATCATCTACATGTCACATGTCGGCCGGGGTGTAGGAGGGGGAGGGGGAGGGGGAGAGGGAGGGGGAGGGGTGGAGCCCGTTTTGGGATCCAAGGGACCTGACCTAAACCACAAGAAGCTCCTGCACTTCAAGAGATGTTGCAGCGTAATTGTTGCATGGTTACAGGTATCCAATTGATTACAACTTTTTATAATTGGATACCTATAATTACCTCCTATGCCATATGCATGTCAATTAAGTGCAGTATAATGGGATCCTTCCTTATGTTTATGTACTGTTAAAACTTACAGAAAACACAATTGACTTTGTTGTTCAAAAGAAGTTCATGAAGACTTGTTAATCTCAGAATTTGTTATTGTACAGTGAATAGTATTTGGACCTCATGTTCAATTCAGAGAGTAATCATGCTTGTATATTTAAATAGGCGTCATGCCGTGTGCTCCTCCAATTTTACAATTACTTATCCTTTTACTCCCTCAGTTGCACAGCACTTGGTCCAGAACTTTCCTGTTACTTATTGACACTAGCCTGCGTAGTAGGCGTTAAAAGTGGAAGGGGAGGCAAAACATGGATGGAAGGAGGGGGACTGGGCACATATAAGTACATGTATACTTGGATGAATTGTGTATGTCCATAGCCTTGCGAGTAACATGTAATGGGGTTTAATTTTAGGTCAGACTCCACTCAAGCAAAGACTAGAGGAAATAGAGACAGCTGTTGCTTCAGGTGCCACAGAAATTGATATTGTTATCAGCCGAGCATTCGTGCTTGAAGGAAACTGGGAGGCACTCTACAATGAAGTGCAGGCAATGCGCAAGGCTTGCGGAGAAGCCCATCTAAAAACAATTATTGCCACAGGTATTTTTTAAACTTGAATTTTGTCATAGGCAATCAGGCTTTCCTGTAAATAATAGTATATCAAAGTTACTTTATTTCTGACAATGAACTGACAACTGGTTGACAATTTCAAAATCTCTGCTCGCAGGTGAAGATTACTTTACTCGTCACCTCTGAGTTAAACAAATCAGAGAGCACTTACAAGTGCAGTACATGTAATTATTGAACCTCTTGCTTGAGATTTGTGCAAGCTGTAGGAGGTGTGATTGACTAGTTTTATTTTATTGTTCTGAATCTACCATAACTATTTATACTATTGAACAAAGGATATTGATAAAACTCTAAGGAGGGGTATTGTTGATTCCCTTTGGTAATTTGTTATTGTACGGAAAAACTGTATATTTGTTCAGAGGGTCTCTACTGATAAATAAAGATACTAAAACTTGGACATTCCACCATGGAAGTCTGCCAATTTTTGAGTTATTTTTTTGTAAAAAGAATACCTCTTAGTCGGCATGTTGGGCATGTTACGGGTCAATGGGTGAGTGAGAGATGTATGTATGTCACACCAATCAGATTGGATCTACTATAAACAGCCAATCAAATTTCTTGTTGTAAAGGTAAATGGTATGTGAGAAGATCTGATCCCGATAAAGTTCAGAACGGCCGTATTCATTCTTCTATAAAAGAGGA